GGGATGTTCTGATGTATCGGCCAATACATAGGCTTGCTACCTGAGTTTATTCAGTACTGTCAATGGACTAGTTAAGTCTGAGCAGTGTTGTAAAGTTGGGCCAATTGGTTTAGCCAAATTAGCACATTGTTGCAGCTTCATTTAATTTTTGTACAGTTTTTATTTATTTTTGTTTTGTCCTTGTAAATATGCTACACTTTCCAATAAAGCACCAATTTTTGCTTTCTGCATCAATTTTGTTTTACAGCACATCATTCCATTTTTCTACTCGAACTGTTTGGCCTTCCTACAATCTGTACGAGATTTAAAGAGTAAACACAAGAGCAGAACACGATCAGATCCAAGAGTTGTTAAAATACAAGAATGAGAATTTGGGGGATAATAAAAACCTGCAACTGTCAACCTACTGGCAAGTTTTATACTTAAAATCAAAAGTTCAAACTGTAATTCAAGCCAGGGTTGCCAATATAGTGTTTTTCCCTTCACCAAACATTATTTGTAACCCAGTGATCACTAAGTAGCTTTGTGCTTGGTTACTTCTGATAAATCAAAAACCTCATCTCTCAAATTATGTTCGTTTTATCACAAATTTAAACAATAAATGTGGTGTGACAGACTGTTTTATGTGCAACTGAGTTGTTTACCAACATTTGAATAATAATCAATATCAGCAAAGAAATGTAACATTGGTTAATCTCTACTTTATTGGGGCGGATTTAGTGATTTGGGGGCCCCAGGCAAAATACGGGAATGGGGCCCTATACAATTTCACATATTTACAACCTTGAGGTTCCTTTCACTGTTGCTCGCTGCTGCACGACCGTGTCCCATAGTTGTCTAATATTTTAGATTTTTCATGTAGGCCTACATGTTATAAATAAAGGATTTCTTTAATGTTGTAAATCCCTTGTTCACATTTAAACAGGTTATAATAGTATTAGAGTAGGTTGGACACTAGGTGGTGCGTTGGGGTAATTTTCACTATGCAATTGTCTACACAACGCAAGGCTGTCTAATTCTAAACTTTAAAATATACATTTATTTTTATTTATTTTAATTGCACATTTAAATTAAACTGAAGGAAATTATAAATTTACATGCTTAAGAATTATTTCAACCAAACATGAAGTGTGCCTGTGTGGAAAGTGACTGTGCATGG